GTAAATAGTAATGTTGGACTAGCGTTGAGGGTCAGTAAGTGTGTTGGACTAGTGTTGGGCTAGTGTTGAGGGTCAATAACAGTGTTGGACTAGTGTCGAGGGCCAGCAACTAGTGTCGGGCTAGTGTCGAGAGCCAGTAACTAGTGTTGAGCTAGTGTTGGGGGGCATCAACTAGTGTTGGGGGGCAATAACTAGTGTCGGGGTAGTCTTGAGGGGAATGAGGGGTCACTGACTAGTGTTGAGTGTAACTAAGTAGTGTTGGACTAATGTTGAGGGACAATAACTAGTGTTGGGCTTGTGTTTTTTTTTTATCCACAACGAGTAAGCTCTTGGCCTGTATCTCACCTGATGGTAAGTGACGATCAGGCCAAAGATGGAAGTGAGCTTCACCCGGAATCCTCAACCACGGAGGAACTGGCTATCTTACCTCTAACTGCCGGAACACAATAATGCTGTTAACATTGTTGTTATGGCGACAGACTTAGGTAAGATGGTGGTAGCTAGCCAGGCGGACTTAGAACAAGCCCTACCACCAACCTATGTCGTGCACTAGTGTCGCACGTCACGCGAGGGTCACTCACTAGTGTTGGACTAGTGTTGAAAAGAAGAAAGAAAGAAAGAAAGAAAATAATTTTATTTTGACAACAACAGATTCAGGGAACAAAGTTGAGAGTCAGCAACTACTATTGGGGGTCACTTATTAGTGTTGAACTAGTGTTGGGGTGTCACTATGATTTGTGTTGGGGCTCACTGATATATCATTTACTGGTGTTGGGTGTCACAGCCTATATTTTTTCAACATTTGTGCCATATTTTATCCACTAACTTAGGAGTTAATCCGTAAATTGTATAACTATCCAGTGTGAACTGTAAAATTGTTTGAAATAAACGTTATTATTTATATTTATGCAAATAATTATTATTAGAAAATATTAGACTTATATTTTTTATTTTTTTCCATAATCGAATATTGAGTTGAAATGTCGCGTGACGTCACTTTTGAGTAAAAATTCTACTCAAGCGTGACGTATCGCACCATTTCAACTCGATGTAGCACTGTTATTATTTAATTATGAAAGAAAATTAAAAATATGAGTCTAATATTTTCTAATTATCTGTCTGACGGACAAATAATAGAAATTTTGTCATCTAGCCTATTTATTTCTTCACAGATAGCGGAGCTGTCTCACAGCGTGCTGAGCCCGATGTCGTTTCGCGTGGAATACAAGCGCGGATCCAACGCACCTGCCATGTTCCAGCGACACGTCCGGTTTCAGGTGAATCGCAGATATTATTTACGTTAATATTGCAAAGAAATAAACCTTGTATGTTTGTAAGTTTCACTGCAGGAAAGTGTTTCTTTATCTCTAGAAAAAGTAGGAAACTACTTGATGTACAAATGTGAACATTTGCAAAGCGTATCAAAATCATATTGTTGTAATTTCCTGCATAACAAATTATCCCTAATAAAATTTAACTATATAAAAATTGCCTGAATGACATAGGCTGTATGATATTTATAGTTTTTGAAAGTGTGTGTTAATTACGCAAATAAAGAAATTTGATTTGATATTTAAAAGTGACATGTTAAAAAATAGGCCTTTACCCGTCCCAGTATTACTTTAACCCTAACCACTGCTTCGGGACAATAAATGGGCCAGTGTTGAGAAGAAACAGCGCAAGAAACGCAATCACCTAATACTTAATAACGGTTACAGTTATTTAAAAACTTTCTACAGCAATAAACTTATGAATATCTGAGAACCTTTTACTAGTTTCCTATGTTTTTTACTAATTATTGAATTGTGAAATTGTTTGTTACAGGTGGATATATCGACAATAACCAAAGCACCCGGCGAGAACGGGAAGGAGTATCTGTATGCTATCACCTTCACGTTACTATCGGGTAAGAATTTCCATTACACGTTGTGTAACGTCTTATACACCCTGTATTAGTAATGTAGTAGAAAATAATAAAATTTATTTCTAGAAAATACGGGAGACGATTAATTTATGTTAAAGACCTCGCAGAATACAGAATTTTTGTTGGTTTAGTTAAAAGTTTACCAAAGGACCCAAGCAAACATCGCTTTTGAAGTGAAGGTGGATTTATATTGTCTTATGTGTTGTGTTGTGCTTGTGACGCATCAGAAAATAATATTAGTTTCATACGTTTAAACTACAGTCGCTCGTTAGACAATATAAACCCACCATAAGGAACGCGAAAGTATTTTCTTAAACGGTTGTGGCGACCACGGGCTGGAAGACGTAGCGTAGGCAGGCTTCCCACTAGGTGGACCGACGATCTGGTAAAGGTCGTGGGTAGAACCTGGATGCGGGCAGCGCAGGGCCGTTCATTGTGGAAAACTTTGGGGGAGGCCTTTGTCCGGCAGTGGACGTCATTTGGCTGAAACGAACGAACGAACGAATGTGCTCACAGTTTTTTAACTTGGGCGGAGAAAGTTCCGAGCTAAAAGGGCGTTTGATTGCAGTCTGGTAATGGATACAGTCTCATAAAAACCGGCCAAGTGCGTGTCGTGCCACGCGCAGTGTAGGGTTCCGTAGTTGTCCGTCGTTACCACAATATACTTCAGAAGGAAGCAATTACTTCATCTAAAGTCACTTTTACTATTTTCTTCTTAGGATTTTTTATTAGGTATGAAATTTTGTAGTACATGAGTAAAACGTCTATAATAACTAACTGATCTATCTTAACGGCTATAGTTTTCCTTGAAAGTTCATAAAAAGCACTATGATCATGATTTTTTTCAGATTTTTCAAGCCAACAGTTTAGTTTTTAGAGGGAGGGGACGCCCTACTCGAACAAAAATTGGCACTTTAAACTTTAACATTTTGCACCTAAATCGAAATATGGTCTTAGAAACCCCTAAGCCATTGTAAAAGACCTATCCAACGGTTCCTTGTCAGGACTACGGAACCCTAAAAAATGGTTATGCTAATCTTGCCAGTCTCAACTAAAAAATCTTAATTTATCCTCTTTTCCAACAGGCAACATCAGGCGCTTCCGCCGAGTCTGCGAGGTCGTCCAGGCGGCCGTGTGTCGCGCGCCCGGCGCGTCCCGCGCGCCCGCGCTGCACCCGCCCTCGCCCCGCGCGCCGCGCCGGCACATACACCCGCACGGTAACACGTAGTGCTAGCTTTCACCAACAGATGGCGTTGATACTTGAATTATAGTTTACTAACTAGAACTAGGCGCGTGCCTCCGCCACATACAGCACGGTAACACCAATAGATGGCGCTGATACTTGAGTTCTAGTTAGTATGGCGCGCGTATCCGCCACATACACCCGCACGGTAACACGTAGTGCTAGCTTTCACCAACAGATGGCGCTGATACAAGAGTTCTAGTTAGTATGGCGCCACATACACCCGCACGGTAATACGTAGTGCTAGTCCTTACCAACAGATAGCGCTGATACTTGAGTTCTATACTGGTCCGTGAGCACGTAGAATTTTGTTCAATGACCCCAAGCTACCCATCCTTATTGCTCGCGCGTAATAATGTTGCTCTTGCGCTCGCACACTCACTGCGGGCGCCCGTCGCACAGTCGCGACAGCAATATAATTACGCGCGAGCGATAAGGATGGGTAGCTTAGGGTCATTAGACAAAATTTTACGTGCTCACGGACCAGGCTTTAGTATGGGTATGGCGCGCGCCTCCGCTACATACACCCGCACGGTAACACGTAGTGCTAGCCTTCACCGACAGATGGCGTTGAGACACGAGTTAACCTGCATCGCGGTGACGAAGTTTTTGACCCTGACTGGTATAATAGAAACTGAGATGAGATTCCCTTGTCTAAGGAAGCAATTCCACCTTGGTTTCCTTATCGTGGTTGATCGACCAAGACACTGTGGCGTCTGTATACAGTTCTAAATAAGGGCGAGTTTGCTACAACAATGTATAGTGTGACTCGCCCGTATTAACGATGCTTGCTTAAGTGAAGCATAAAATTGAAAATCCTGTAATAAGCATCATCTACGTTTAAAAAGGAACCCCCATGCAAAATTTGAAACTCCTAGCACTTGTAGTTTCTGAGATTTCGTGATAAGTGAGTGAGTCAGTAGTGACCTTTCGCTTTTATAGATAAGTATAGATTGATAATTAATAAAATTTTCTTTCCAGCCGCCGGCGAGATCCCAGACAGTCCAGAGACGCCTCATCAGCAATCCGACCACGACAGCGACTCGTCAGTCATTGACGCGGCCAAGAGTACCAGTCATACTTCCATCGACCAGCTGGAGCAGGTGAGAAGACTATCCCACCTCTCGCTCCCACTAAAACTCCTGTGCAGCCAGGATCTACAGCTTGACCGCTAAACCAGAGTAAATACAAATGAGTAGGTCATCGCTCAATCAGGCTCCCCGCTAATCCCCGCTAAATGGCAATGCCAGATTTTGTATGGAAGGTGGCGTCTTTTTTTTTCGCGCGGCCATCGACCAAACCTTATTTTTTGATTACAAAATAGTGTAATAAACCAAACTTACTATGACATGTATACCTCTAAACTCAGTCTGAACTGAGTTACGAGCATTAAAAGTTTGATGATTTTACATACTAGATTTGCTTTCTGCGTGCAAGTTTTGTAAGAAATTGCAAAAAAATAGTGACATTTTATGCGTAAACAAACAATAACATCAATTATAGGCTCCAGTCATCAGTATGGAGCAGAATCAGCGCAATAAAAAAGACGTCACTATTTTGTTGCAATTTCTTACAAAACTTGCGCGCAAAAAGCAAATCTTAGTATGTAAAACATCAAACTTTTAATGCTCGTAACTCAGTTCAGACTGAGTTTAGAAGTATACATGTCATAGTAAATTTGGTTTATTACACTGTTTTGTAACCAAAAACATGGTTTGGTCGATGGCCGCGCGAAAAAAAAAGACGCCAATTTCCGGCACTGTCTTTTTGTCAGTGTGTGCGTGGGCGCCGCATACGTATTGGCGCGGTCACATACAAACCGCGCTCGGTGCGTTTCTATGAAGATGACCTACTCATTTGTATTTACTCTGGCTAAACCCAACCAGTGAAGGCTAAGTTTGTTTAGAAAGTTAAACTGTCATTGGACCCGCAACGAAATTAATCAGAAGTATGTCTTTCCCGGAAACTATAATCCGGGCCTTTTCAAGGCGAGAGTGAATAGGCACTTACAGGGCAGATATGTACCATCCTAGACTGCATCCCACTTAACAACAGGTGCGTTTGTGGTCAAATACCAGCCTTGTTATGCATAAAAAAAAGAACATAGGAGTTTGAAGTTAAGGTTCGACTTCCCTCCATTCCAAAGCAGATGACTGGAGACAAAACAAAGGTTTACCTAAGTAAACTTTAAGAAAAAATATCGAGGGATAGGGATCGTAACCGTATCAACTCGAGGCGGTCAGTATTATTTGTATGAAACTCCATACTGCAACGCACACTGATCCGCACCGTAACGTAAACGCCTCGCCTCGCGGTTGATAGCGCGCGAAATTAAGGTGATAGAGTGTTGATCCCTTTCCGAGTTGATAAGTCTACTATGATCTTAAGCATCATTTATGCTTCCAACGTTGGTCCCAATGCTACTCGTCCAACGTGGCTGAAGCAAATAGTATTGGCACCAACGCTGGGACAAATTATTGGCTATTTCTGAATGATTGTTTTTTGTTTTCCAGAATGGAACTCACCCATTGGGATCCAGTTCGTCTGTCACCAGCGGATCTAGTGGATATAAGGTAAATATACATTAATAAATTAGTGCTTTTCTGTTAATTTCATTTATTTTTCAAGTTTGAGTTGTTAAATTCAACATTTTAATCGTGTGTGATGTAAGATGGACGTTATGTAAAGAAAAATGTGTATCGCTTTTTAAAGTTCACTCCAAACAAGTACACATAAAAGTACGTTAATTATTGTGTTATTTATTCATTTGGAAAATTATTACATACCTTTAAATGATCCATACTTCTTTTAGTATCATAACCGCACAGTTTTAGTACGCGCAGCGAAAGTTGAGATGATCACGGTACTCACACTGGTGTAAGTAATATTTGAATACAGAACACATAATAATATCGCTTGCACATTCAAGTTCGAATATCGAATACACTGCTATCTCGCTTTTGCTAAATATGTGCAAGTGAGACAGAAATCAATTGTCAGTCAGACTACGCACGTCAGCGCTGCGAGCGTATACAGATACAAATCTTTGCTTGTGTTGATCGCAACTCACGCTGCGCTAAAATACACAAAAAAATTTGCGTGTGATCGCCTCAAATCTCGCTGTGCGAATATGAGACTATGATTTTCAATATTTTTTTTGCTTTTATTTTGCTACCAAATCCAAACGCAACGGCATCAGTAATGTACGTAATGTCAGTCGTGCGATTGCAGCAAAACGTCAGGCGGCGCGCCGCCGAGCCCGCGTCGGCGTCCCTCGACCACGAGATCATGAGCTGCGGCCGCGACCGCGACCGCGCCGACCGGGATCTATCCGGTGAGTGATTAACGAGAGTATCGTGGTACAGGGGCGTTCTAATTTCAATAGGTGCTGCGATTTCGCCGCTTGATTTACGGAACGCGCTGGCCCGAAGGTAAAAATGTTGCTTCCCACGCGTCAGGAACCGAGTTCAAACCCCAAGATTGGAAAATATTTATTAAGATTTTTCTAAGTTTTCTGACAAAAGCCGCATATTAAAAAGGCGAGTAAAAAAAGAATACGGGGGAAACCCATTACCAATAAAAGTTTCGAATGTTGCCATCCCTCTCACGCAAAGTAAGATCCCAGCATGAGCGACGGTGACAGATATAGACTCGCTTCCACGTAGACCTGTATTTACGGTTTCGGAGTAGTCCTTCTGTAAGTAGAGAGAGACAAAACAATATGAGAACATGGTCATCAGAAAACACGCTCTTATGTAGTTGATTTAAGAGCAACTTTGCTACAAAGATTTGAGTAAGGTGAGTAAAAAAACATGGTAGCATCAATGACTCTTCTCTATAAGTAAGAGAGAGAGAGAGACAGGAACAACGTGCCTCTACTATGAGCGCACGGTGACATCAGCCCGCGTCGGCCTCCCTCGACCACGAAATCATGAGCTGCGGCCGCGACCGCGAGCGCGCCGACCGGGACCTGTCGGGTAAGTGATTAACGAGAGTATCGTGGTACAGGGGCGTTCTAATTTTAATAGGTGCTGCGATTTCGCCGCTCGGAGTACGCAGTGAGTTGGCGCGAAGGTAAAAATGTCGCTTCTCATGCGTCGGGACCCAAGTTCAAACCCCAAGTGTCAAAAATATTTATTAAAATTGATTTTCAAAATTTTCTAATAAAAGCCCCATATTAAAAAGGCGAGTAAAAAAAGAATACGGGGGAAACCACGACCAATAAAAGTTTCGAATGTTGCCATCCCTCTCACGCAAAGTAAGATCCTAGCATGAGCGACGGTGACAGATATAGACTCGCTTCCACGTAGACCTGTATCTACGGTTTCGGAGTACCTTCTGTAAGTAGAGAGAGACAAAACAATATGAGAACATGGTCATCAGAAAACACTGGGCTCTTGTGTAGTTGATTTAAGAGTAACTTTGCAACAAAGATTTGAGTAAGGTGAGTAAAAAACATGGTAGCATCAATGACTCTTCTCTATAAGTAAGAGAAAGACAGAACAGTCGTGTCTCTACTATGAGCGCACGGTGACGTAGACCGCGTAGGCGTCCCTCGACCACGAGATCATGAGCTGCGGCCGCGACCGCGACCGCGCCGACCGGGACCTGTCGGGTGAGTGTGTCGCTAGAGTATTGTGGTACAGGGGCCTAGCGAGAAAAAAGTGCATCGATTTTTCAGCGTCTCAAGCAAGGAGCGCGCTGGCGCGAAGGTAAAAATGTCGCTTCCCCGCGACCGCGACCGCGCCGACCGGGATCTGTCGGGTAAGTCATTTATGAAGATATCGTGGTACAGGGGCGTTCTAATTTCAATAGGTGCTGCGATTTCGCCGCTTGGTGTACGGAGCGCGCTGGCGCGAAGGTAAAATTGTCGCTTCTCATGCGCCGGGAACCGAGTTCAAACCCCAAGATTGGAAAATATTTATTAAGATTTTTCTAAGTTTTCTGACAAAAGCCGCATAGTAAAAAGGCGAGTAAAAAAGAATACGGGGGAAACCATTACCAATAAAAGTTTCGAATGTTGCCATCCCTCTCACGCAAAGCGAGATCCTAGCATGAGCGACGGTGACAGATATAGACTCGCTTCCACGTAGACGTGTATCTACGGTTTCGCAGTACCTTCTGTAAGTAGAGAGAGACAAAACAATATGAGAACATGGTCATCAGAAAACACTGGGCTCTTGTGTAGTTGATTTAAGAGCAACTTTGCTACAAAGATTTGAGTAAGGTGAGTAAAAAAACATGGTAGCATTAATGACTCTTATCTATAAGTAAGAGAAAGACAGAGAACAATCGTGTCTCTACTATGAGCGCACGGTGACGTCAGACCGCGTCGGCCTCCCTCGACCACGAGATCATGAGCTGCGGCCGCGACCGCGATTGCGCCGACCGGGACCTGTCGGGTGAGTCGCTTAGTAGAGTTTTAGAGAAGGAAGTGCGTCGAGTTTTCAGCGTCGCAAGCAAAGTGCGCTGGCGCGAAGGTAAAAATGTCGGGAGTGCCTCCGCTGCCGGCGCCGGGGCTGATTCGGCAGCCGGCACCGGTCACTGATTCTTCATAAGACGAATATTATCACCATTTTTATACAAATCATTGGAGAAACACACAAACTCGCAGCTATCGAAAAACAATACAAACAAACTTTAAAGTAATTAAAAAGTACGCCATAACTGAGTGCCAGTGCCGGTAGCCGTTTTGACTGCCGCGATGTGCCGGCAGCGTATCACGTGGTATCACCGCCGGTTCCCAATGGCGATATTTTTGGGAACCGGCGCCGGCAGCGGAGGCACTCCCAAAAATGTCGCTTCCCACGCGTCGGGAACCAAGTACAAAACCCAAGTGTAGAAAATATTCATAAATTATGTCTTTTTCCTCCAGTAAGTAGAAGAGAGACAGAACAATATCCGCATCCTTCAACCACATTGTGGATGTGGACTGCGGCCGCGGTGTCGCGACTAGGGGCCTGTCCAATAAAAGCTATCGACAATATCGTGGTACAGGGGGAATGTATTCAATTTACCTTTGTTGTTATTCATCGTTATAATAAAGGTGGAATTTATGACTTTCTCCCGTCCTGACGATATTTCATATTACCTCTTACGTCGCACGTCACAGGTGCACACACAAAGCGGTCTTCCTCTGGTTGGAATATAAACCGTAATTCCTAGAGCATTAGGAGCTCATTTCATCAGCTTGATGATGCTACAGGTGCACACACGAAGCGGTCGTCGTCCGAATGCAGAGAAGCCTCCTCCTCGCCCCGGCGCGGGCTCGAGTCCCGGGACAGCTCCATCAAGGACGAGCTGCGGCGGAACAACTCGCTCAGAGACCGGCGGGACATTCTGTCCCGGGAATGTGCACTTTATAGTTAACTGGGAGCTTATTAGTTTGATGATGCTCTTTTGTTCATTAGTCTTGTCGTTCTAATAGGGCGTGGTTAGTGTCTTTCTCTTTCCAACTTATTGACGTAGAAAGAGACGGTGCACACTACGGGATTATTTCTTAATTTTCTGGACGATTGTTTTTGTTGTAATTTTTTGGAAGTATTGTTTTCTCTTTCTTTTCCATGTAGTAGAGTGAGAAGGATTAATAGAAAAACCTTTTTTGTCATGGGTTTTGAACTAGGGTCTTGACGCGTGGCAAGCGACTTATGCGCCAATCGGCCACCCGATTACTCAGAATCGGCGGTGAAATTAATCTACCCATTGACCGTTGGTCGCTCTCTCATCGGAATGTGTACCGTATTACTTAGTACATTAGAGTCTTATCAGCTTGATGATGCCACAGGTGCACACACGAAGCGGTCGTCGTCCGAATGCAGAGAAGCCTCCTCCTCCCCCCGGCGCGGGCTCGAGTCCCGGGACAGCTCCATCAAGGACGAGCTGCGGCGGAACAACTCGCTCAGAGACCGGCGGGACATTCTCTCGCGGGACAGAGACTCGGCGGTTCCCACTACGTCTATTGCGTGAGGCTGTGTCGTGTCTACGGACGTGTTTCAATTGATTGTGCCGCGTCAACACTGTTTTTGTGCAAGGTTAGTTTTTTGTTTTCTATACAGGGTTGCGATGGGTAACGTTAAAATGACTCGGTCAAGATTTCTGCTGACAATTTTACTCTAAAGTGCGGCCAGTTAGCAGCGATACAATCGGTCGATTCGACTCTCGAACTGACAATATATTCTGTCTCTTCCCATCTTGTGTAATAGGCTAGTTTCCAAAAAAAAATTGTTTAGTCCGTCATGTTTAATATCAAAAAATATTGGACACATATATTTTTATTTGTCAATCTAACAAATAATTACATAGTTATGGTGTGTTGAAGTTCTGCATGACGTCACAACGTGCGGCACTTTTATGCAAGCATTGACGTCACGGGCCTCTTCTTATGAACTTTGGCGCGCTTTATCTCTTTAAATTTTCATTAGTTTGAAAAAGTGAAAAATACGTGTAGAGTATTTTTTGATAAGTTAACTGACGGACTAATTAAAACTCTTGCTTTTTGACCCAGGAAACATCCCTATTGTCGTGATATCTCGTTCTCCCGCCAAAATATTATGTCAAAGTCAAACCCCTGCTATTCCAAATGACCATGACATTGACTTTGTTTACATTTGGTATCGCTTCTCGTTGGCCGTACTTTAGTCATATTTATTGCTGTTAACACTTAACGGACACTAACCCAGGCACAATAGAAGTTTAATTGTAATGAATGCTATGGCAGTTCAATGTCTATGAAAGTGTTAAACTATGAATCTATTCGCCTGGAAAATTAAACTGGGTGAAATGGTTCAGATGTTACATTTTTACACCGAAAAATACACTTCCTTAACCCAGGTTAAATCTTTGAAACTACTAGTCAATTGACGTACTTTTTAATTCATGTGGGATGAAAGCATATCAAGCTATGCTGTGGCATCTTATGTGATGCGATTTTGCAACTATATTTTAAATTATATTGTTTTTAACGTCAGTCACGAGTCATTTTAATGTTATACATTCTATATTAAACGACCTGTATACATACATATATCATGGTGTGTGACATTTATATACCGTTGTTTTAATTATATTTTATAGTATGCAAAGTTGTATACAGTTTGCTTATTTTAATATATTATTTTGTAATTGTATCACTTCTCTTAAACTATTGTTACTTCATGACATCGGGCTATGTTATCCATTAAAATACGTAAAATAATGGATGTTGATATTGTAATATAGTCCTTGTTACTTGAATAGAGAGATTAAAATAATTTGCGACTGATAAATGATCTCATAATGACGTATTCTAAACTCTACGTAATATTTTAAGTTACCTTTAATGTATAATTAAGTTTCAATTCACTATACGTAATTTTTGAAAAAATATCCCTTGCAAAAGAAAACAATATAGTGTTGATGATTGTGCATAACAAGACTTGTTAACGTAGTAAAAATATTAATTGGACTGTACGCTCACAATTACAGTTGGATCCGGAAACTTCTTGCAATCACTGATGTATGGTAAACTTGTGACATCTGTCAAATCGTATAATTTGTGTTTAATGACATTCTAAGATTGTTCACTGTTTCTCTAACATAAAAGTCGATATAATACAGAGTGTGAAGTCGGCTAAACCTTTTAATTCAAGAGCATCATTTAATTAAGTGTTTAAGTATGTACCATTGCCAACATATTTCTTACACTCTCTATACCTTTTAATAGACTAAACGTCAAGGTTGGATACTTCGGTTAACTTAAAAACAGTATATTTATTTTAATACCTTTTCCATCAGTATTGCAAGTATTTTTCCCAAAAAAGTTTTTAGATATAATAGGTATCACTCTAGCTTCCTTTCCAACACATTATTTTTTTTATATAATATATTTATATAAACGAGTAAATTTTGGCTTCCAATTTGTCCTGTTATCAGCCAAAATGTTTTTAGGTAATCGTGGGATTCATTTGTAATTTAAAATCGCGTTTTAACCATTTTATGAGCGCAGCAGCTTGATTTTTTTTAAATACCGTATTTACTATATTGCCACAGACTACACTATATTGTGGTTAAATGTAAAAGAAAGTTTTTAACAATTTTATCAAAATGTAGTCATTTCTGTATTCACGATTTGAATGGGGCTTTTAAAAAAAGAGCCTCTTATGTAGAATGTTTGAGCTGGAGTTGACGCCTGTCAACTGTCAAATGCGTGCTGTAATGCTGTTTGATACAGGCTTGAAAGTAGTCGCTAGTGCCTAAAGAGCGAATATTGGTCAACTTTAGAAGACTGCGAGTGTTAAGGACCTTATAATTCCTTAGTCTGCCATTACTAATAAGACAAGGCTTAAAAATAGACGAGTCACATTTTTTATCGTCTTGGAGAATTGAATCTAGACTAGAATAAAAAAAGAAAACTGGCACTGGAGTATGCAACTTGCAGTATGCAAGTATATTGTGGACATTGTGGTAAAAATGGTATTATATAAAAAGGATATGATATATTATCATGCGATATTATATGACTTAACGATTCTAAATTACAAATAATCTCAATTTTAAAAATTATATAAAATGCGCCCAACAGATAGCGGATGATTTTTATAATTATACATAATAATTATTAGCTGTATTTAGTAAGCTTAAAATGTGTGTTAATATAATGAAAAAGTATATAAAAAAATAATGAAACCGGCCATTTATATTAAAGCTATCCATGTACTGAGTTAAAGCATATTAGTTTAAGGCCTGAAAATATTTTTGCAAATGAAAATAAATGTGTAATAGTAATGTATGAACGCTCTGTCGGTCCCCTCTACTGCCATACTTTAACCGCTTTAAGGGTTCCCGCTGTGCCATTGGGTTGCCAGAGTAAAAAATATTGATTTTATGATTTTGACGCAAGCTAGCATTGTAAAAGTAATCAATCACAACTATTACCTTAGTGTGTGCAACTGTCAGAGCTCAAATCAAGACGTGTAAAGGAAGTCTCTGTATATATTTTTTTCACACTTCAAACTCAAAATGTCAATATTATTTGTGGAGAAATTTAAACATATACCTTCCATGTAACTTGACATATTTTATCTTGTGCATTTTGTTAGCAATATTTGAAAAAACAAAACTAAATAGCGTGGTAGATTTTGGATGAATTCTGGCAACCTAGTGTATAGGCGACTTATGATAGTAGGAAACTAGGGGTGTTTTGAAAGACTCGTCATTTATTGGATAGATAAATTACGTATAATAATATACACATAAAGCGACAATGTCAAGGTACAATGTTGGACTTCAATGGTCTTATTTTATGAATCATAGGAGTTTAAAGTGTATTAGATCTTTGACCTTGGATTTTAAAGTCATAATCGTCGTCAGATATACAGACATACACTGTAGGTGCTGTGAACCAAAAATTTATGTATATTCACTAAAAGACCAGTCCTTCAAATCCCCTAGAATCTATAGATGTAAATAGTTTGCACGTTAAAACATTCGACCACTACATTAATATATCACTATCCAATGAAAATAGCGCCTAAATATGAAAATCATATATACACGTATAATATAGGTACCCCTGAAACAATTGTAGCATCTATATTTTGTATAAAAATTCCCACAATGTCCAATTACAATTTTTAATGGTATAACCCAATTTTTGTGGTGGTCGAATCTTGTAAATGTAGGTCAAAATATAATATTTATACAAAGATTATAAAAGTCAATATCGTTAATTTTTGTTTATCAAAAATATACAACTTGCAAAAATATACAAATAAAAGAATTGCTTCAATTAATAGAAATAATTAGAAGTATCTAAAGTTGAAAAGTCCTGAATTCCAAATACAATAACACTCTAAAATGAACTCTTAATAAATACAGTAGAGGACACGTTTTTGTGTAACATTTAAAAATGGGTTTAAAAATAGTTACCATTAAACTAAAATTTTGTATACAATTTTAGTTAAACGGCAAGTTGTATATAATATAATAATATATATAAACAGCAATTGTCTTGTACAGGAGACAGAAACGTTACGCTATTGTACATTTTTGTATTTCTCAATATATACATTGTTGATATGTATTGAATCTCATGTAAATAGATATAGTTTGTGTGGAATAGAAACGTTCAATAGTATGAATGGTGTTGAATTGTACACGCACATACGTGATTAAAACAACTGTGTTTAATTATAGACGCGTTTTGAAATATATAGTGAACAATATAATGGTAATGCCAAAATATATATTTTATATTGTGACTATATTATTTATGTATGTATATTCTTGTTTTTTTACTATACAGACGGATAATAAATTATTAATAGTTATTTAAAAAAATGAAATCAATATTCCATTATAGTGTGTGTGACTATTATAGAAGCGAATGTAATGTTGTAAGACTACAATAAATTGATTTCATTTTTCTAAATTAAACAAACGGCTTTAGATAATCCATTCATAAAATATTATATTTATAGCAACATTTCCTTATTATATCTTGGTGTATATCAAATGATATTATAATGAGTACCTATTCAACAAAATGAGTACGTACAATGACGGAAAATACTTAATATACTGACCATATTAAAGCAATATTTGGTTTTCGAAAATTCGGATTGACAAAGTGTTTTATCTTTCAGGCATACCTACAAAAAATGTTTTAATGATTCTATCTAGCAGGGTACTCACTATAATATCATTTAATTCAATTAAGTTCAATGAGTCGATTGATTTTTATCCGTTGTATTTAGATAGGTAATTTGTATAAACATTTCGTAAAGTGCTTTTGTATTATAACGTCGGGTGGTATCGTGTGTTGGTGCGCGAAAATGCATAGTTCTCTATTGATAAGAGACATAATTTATCTTCTTATCATCATCAGAACATTGTTTTTATCTCCACTGCAGGATAACGACCCTCTCTAATTTACCAGAGGCAAATGGAGGATTTGATCTACACTCCCCGCCCTGGTCTGAGTGGTTGAGGAGGCGTGATGTTCGCATATTTTGTTCCTTAGTCGCCTTTGAGACATTCAAAAGCAGTTTGTTCCAAACTTTAACCTTGCCACCGCTTCAAGACAATATAAAGGTCTTGGAGGTCAATAATTCTGAACGTGTTTTTTTGTCTATGCATTTTCGCGGTGTTAGTAAATATTATAGTAAATAAATGTACTGGTTTATGTATCGTATTTATTAATGATTTGTTATTTTTGTACGTTAACCTGTAGGTGCTAGGTTAATTTTTTTGTTATGTTTGTGCATTTATTTGATATTAGATTAACTGGTTAATGAGTTTGTGTTGATAATTCGTATTGAATTTGAAGTAATGGTTTTTGATGCCTCAATAATAACGCTAAATACCTATCTAGATGATTTTTCGCTTATAAAATCAATTGTTCAAGTGTCAAGTGAAAAATTTGCTGTTGGTATTATTCCACGACATCTGAGAAAAATATTGTTGCAAAGAAGATTTTAAACTTGAAATTGAGCATAAATAAAATCATCGAAAGTATGCGTTCAAAAAACATTGTTTTGTTATTTTATTGCAATATACATTTTAATAATATACTGTTCATTCACGTAGTATACCTGATTCATCACATATCACGAAATAATGTACACTATTTCGTTTAATATGCAAAATATACTGAATATAGTAATATTTATTGAACCAATCTATATATTTATTTGTCAGTTGTACATGATAATTCTATGTAGTGATTTTTAAGTTAGTCAGAAACGTGTTTATTGATGATTAAAAAGCAAATGTATATGTAAATGCCTTCACGAATAAATGTATCGTAAATGAAAATTAATAATCATATATTTTACATTGAATGAAATGTAATTTTTGTACTCCAATAAGACAAAAATTGTTTTACAATGGATGTTTATATATTTTCAACGTATAATTTTGAAAGTATATAAAATCTGTATAATAGTATCATTGTTCATTGATATGTGTTCGGAAATTCTGTAATATAATGTATTTCTTTGGTCTTAGCGAGCATGCGTGTGTATATATATTTATATACACGTCGGTTTGAGTATATAGGCCAACTACCCTGCTGTAAATGATCTAAACTAAGAACTATGCTATGCTATAATCTACTGTAACTGCTTAAGGGACTAACCGGTTAATATTGAAAAAATAATAAAAGTAAAAAATAGAAAATGACTTTTTCATTTCATTCCTCAATATACAGTGTGAGTCACGTTAAAGTGTACATATGAAAATAGATAAAACCAGACCTGTTTTTATCGACAAAAAAGAGGTCAAAAAATTTTTGAGATTTTTTTTTAATTTTTTATAGAATTTTTTTTCTTCCAATTACTTATTGTAAAGAAAACGTAATAACTTTTAAACTAAGCGGTATATCCTAATAAAATAAAAACAGTAATAATGCTAAATAGCAGGTGATACTAAAAAAATACATAAAATACACAAAAAAGGCCAAAAAATAATAAAAAATTACACTTTTTGAAAAAAATCTGCGTAAAAATTCGTGTTTTTTTGATTATTTAATAAATTTCTCCAAAAAATGCCCCTATAACCGGTGGTTTTTATTACTTTGTATTGTTCTCTATCGTATTATCTTTGTAAAACCAAAAATCGCATGTCTCTATCCCTATCACAACATTTGCTATGATCGTTTGAACTAAGCCTCTCCGAGCGCGCCATTCAACGCTTCGTTAACAACAAAACTGAAAATGGCTCTAGATTTGTAATTTTGATAAAGACAAGTTAGATTTCAAATAAAAACAAAAGATTTCGAAGTAAAATAAGCATTTTAGTTAAAATTAAAATTGTCTCTACCTGTAGCGGAGAATAATGTTGTGGCAGGCCTTTGTTCAAACGATCATAGCAAATGTTGTGATAGGGATAGAGACATGCGATTTTTGGTTTTACAAAGATAATACGATAGAGAATAATACAAAGTAATAAAAACCACCGGTTATAGGGGCATTTTTTGGAGAAATTTATCAAATAACCAAAAAAACACGAATTTTTAAGCAGATTTTTTTCAAAATTTATCATTTTTTGTTATTTGTTGGCCTTTTTTGTGTATTTTATGTATTTTTTTAGTATTGCCTGTTATTTAGAATTATTACTGTTTTTATTTTATCAGGATATACCGCTTAGTTTAAAAGTTATTACGTTTTCTTTACAATAAGTAATTGGAAGAAAAAAAATTCTATAAAAAATTAAAAAAAAATCTCAAAAAATTTTTGACCTCTTTTTTGTCGATAAAAATAGGTCTAGTTTCATCTATTTTCATATGTACACTTTAACGTGACTCACATATAAAATTTAAAATACCCTGTGGACAATACATATACAGGATAGAAACGATAAGTGATCTCACTATATTATTTCTAAACTATACAATATATCGAAAAACTGGTTACTGATCCTGAAAGTGCTTCATGAGCATTGGTACCGTTTGAAAGATCAAACGGTACCAATAACAGTTTACAGAATAAACTGGAACTATCTGAAAATTCAATGCTTCCAGCTTCCTTGCGAGAACAATATTCAAATAAGTTTCAGACCGTGTTAAAAATTATCGTAGAGGAGCTGAGGTAGAATACAAGGAGATAAAAAAAACTATGATATTTGATTTTCAAATATATTTCAGTAATCAAAATATAATAATAGGCTTACACATTAATAGTTACAAATCGTATCTCGTGGCGTGACCAATTGTTTTACAAAAAAGCAAAAGAATACCAAAGTAACCTTTACACAAAGTAGTCCAAAAAAGCCGGAATTTATCACAAAAAAAAAATGTAAACATTCAATGCCCCTAGCCGAAAAATTAAAAACATATTTACAAGCCGTAAATTACAATTTAGAGTATTATAGATTTTTTTACATAAATCGTTAGTGCACTTATTCACATGTGAATTCCGCTTATTTATTTAATAAATAAATAAAAACACGAAGCTTCCTTACGCTAATTGTGATTTTACTTTAACATGTTGTGCACGTAACATCATTTTAACCGACGAAAAAAATGAATTAAAAAATGGCTGTAAGAAATCTTTAGTTTTAATTTTTCAATATAACCTATCGCTATTTATTATCTTCGGTTATTTAAAAATTAATACTTTCATCCTGTATTTTATTAAAAATGCGTTTACACCTATAAAATATGATTGTATATAAATTATCCAGCTAGTTTTATTTACAATAGTCTTTTTGGGCTACATTTTTATATTTGTTAGTTGTTTTAAACAATTTTCATTGTAGGCAAGCATTGTCGTCAATTCTTTGATCTTAGAACTAGGAAAATAATAGCTGTCATAGAGATTATCACAAAAAATTCAGGAAACCAATTGCGCAGGGAACACGGTTCTAGATGTATTTACATATTTATTTACTTTTTTTATAACCTTAAAATAATTTTATATCACAAATAAAATCCCCAACTATTTTTTCGTATGAGCAATTATATATTTTTTAATCTACTATTGGTCAAGATATACAATGATTTTTGAGAAAGTTCAAATGAAAAAGTACAGAAGTAACACCTATTATTAAATGTTTCAATTAAATACGAAATGAAATCGGATAAACTGTACATTGTTTTTAATAGGAAAGTAAAATAAGGATGGCATCAAAAAAATATTTTAAACATAGGGCATTTTTAAGTAGTTATCTTTTTACTCCAATATTGATAAAACCTAAAAATGAGTTGTTTTAATTTTAATCACTGGTATGTTGAGCAAATGAGCTCCAAAAAAAATATTTTTAACCAAAAGGTTCGTAAATTCTAAAAGTTTATCCGATTTCATTCTTATAACTCAAAAAAGTAAAATAATGAAGAAAAGTGGACGTATTCAAAAAAGAAAAACAATAAAAAGAAATGCTGAGCATAATTTTTTCTACATTTATGTCTATCTAATTAATTTAGTCTTAATTTTTAATCTGTATAATATTTAGCATACAGTACAAATTTTATGTATACTTCGAAAGCGTTTTTCTCTATAAATTATTTATATCATTATAAGTATTGTACAAACTCTGCCAATTTAAAAAAAATATTTAAAAAAAACTCAATTTTTAAATGCAACACGATGGCAGAGGCGATGGATACGTCCTATTTTAAATTAAACGGTAAAATTAAAGTTTAAATTACAAAGATAATTTAAAATCGCATATTTATCATCACCAACTATACCTTTTATATACAATTTGATCACGTTGCTTCGTTTCTTTTCAACATTGTTTTGTTGTCGCCTAACCTAAAACTAAATTTTATAGAAATTCCATTTTGTGTAAAAAAAATCATAGATTAAAATAACATAAAAACATGGACAAATTAGTGTTTACTATGTCTGTGACACGCAAAGAATAAAAAAAGCTGCCAAAAATTACACTGGAAAGTTATTAAATGCATCCGAATCGCATGTTCTCTCGAATATGCACTTTATCACAATCAAAGCAAGACTAAATTTGTTATAACCGAGTACGCTAACTTTGCTAGAGCTTGGTCGTGGTTTGATTTTATTAAAAAGTTTCTACCCAATTTTTTAAAGAAAAATATTCGCGCTCAGAATATTATTTTAAGAGATTTTTTGATGCAATCATATTATTATCATAGGGGCGTACCAAAAAATAGTTAATTTACACAGTGACCATGCCTGTATACAGGATGTCCCAAAAAGTAGTGTCAAGCCGAAGTCCAGAGGTAGCGCATCACTAGGGCTGGCATCTAACAAGGAGTTTATCAGGCAGTTGTGAAACTGTCACTAAGTATATTGTCTTATACCCAATAATTATTAAAAACATTTAACTATTTCACATACACCCCTATAAATGATAATACATTTTATTCATAGAGGATCCTGTATCTCTATTGAATTCTAATTTTGAAATTAAAATCAGTAACTGACCTTTGACCTGTCAATTTATACGATTCTCATTGGCCAAAATGCCATCTATGCCATTCCTATTGGTTGTCTATTATACAACTGTCAGTTAACTGGCTTGAATTACAAAAAAAATAAGGGAATATTGAACTCTATATCATCTGCATGAAGTTCAAAAATGCTGTGGCAAGAATTGAGTTGTTTATGTAAAAATCATAGATTCAGCGATTCAGATTCGGACTTGGAATACCTACTTTAGTATTTTTTTAGAATGTTCAAGGTGTTTATATTCAACCAAACTTAATCTTTGTTTTCGATGATATAAGAGTGATTTTTAAGGGTGTTATTTGACGGATAAAATTAATTACTATAAAATTTTTTTCACTGGTACATTTTCATTAATTTTATTCCATATCCTAATACCAAACCAATCCGCATTCCGCTTTAAAAATGTATAAAATTGGTCAATAATTTTGATGTTATCACAAATCTAAAAAAATCGTTCCAAAACCGACACCAAGCTTTATAATCTGTGCAAATTCCAAGCCCGAATTTAACGCGCCAAAATCTGACATTGATGTTTACGAGCGCGCCAAAATTTGACGTTGACGTTTTACTTTTTAATCTAAAACCAAACCACGGCACAAGGGTGAACAGCCTACGCGCCGCGGTATCATCTGTAAGCGAGCACGCACAGTAAGATCAGAGCTGTGGAAGTGAGACGGGACGCGTCGCTGTTGTATTTGCTGCTCTGCTCGCACGTGCCTGGAAAGAGAAAGTTAAAATTGAAATTGTGATCAGTAATTTGCATACTCGACAGATATTTAAATTAAAATTTTGAGCTACTGATAAAGTTGATTTGATTTAATTCTACTGGCTTAGGGCCATTTCCGACGGTAATCTAGTTTTAGGATGCAGGATCTTGCAAAACTACACTGTCGTGTGAACACAGAAGTGTGTGTTTGAAATTAAATTCAAGCTCATATTAAGAGTAGGCGCACACCGTTGATTTTTAGTTGGCCGATAGTTGTGCCCGATTCTAATTTGTATGAAGAATCGGCCAAATCGAATCGGCGTAGTGTGCGCACTCCCATACACATACTGATCAACTGCCTGCCCGACTAAACTATCGGCCGACGAAAAATCAACGGTGTGCGCCTACTCTTAAAGTACCTTAACGAAAATGTTTGGGATGTTTATCTGCCTAGCTCGCATCAATATTTATAACTATGTATTTTAAACACAGTAAGCCCTTGAAAAAGAAGCTGACATTAGTGACTGAGTTTCTTGCGCTTCTTCTCAGCACTGGCCCATTTATTGTCCCGAAGCAGCGGTAGGGTTAATACTGGGACGTGTAAAAGTGCTTTTTGAAAGCCTAGTCTGGTCTGTGAGCGCGTAGAATTTTATCCAATGACCCCAGCTACCCATCTTTATCGCTCGCACGTAATTATATTGCTGTCGCGACTGTGCGACGGGCGCCCGCAGTGAGTGTGCGAGCGCGACAGCAACTTACGCGCGAGCGATAAGGATGGGTAGCTTGGGGTCATTGGACAAAATTCTACGTGCTCACAGACCGGGCTTTACTTGCAAAAATTAAATGAGTTTTTTTGGATATTTACCGTTGAGTGTGAGGTTATACGCTCGCTCGCCGCCGGCGCCAGGAATAAGCGAGCGCGAGCAAGCGCGCGCTGCACTCAGAGACAAGCCGCGCGACATGGAGCGGGACTCTGGAAGGAAAGAAAAGCGTTTTATTAATAAAACAAATCGAAGTAAAAACTACACTCTGTAAAGACTGGCAAAAAGCAAGCAGACTGAAAAACAATAAAGAAAAACACTAACGAAGCTCACTCTTTAGCTCTACTCTTTTCCTTACCGCTCCAAAAATCTAAGTAAAAACTGTGCTATGGTTTTCTTTGGGTCTCAAAATACCTTTTATCAAACTTCATATACCTAAGTAGGTATTTAGTGATTTAAGTGTAAATTAGTAATAAAAGCCTCAGAAACTTTCACATTTAAAATATTAAAGCCTGGTCCGTGAGCACGTAGAATCCCGTCCAATGACCCCAAGCTACCCATCCCTATCGCTCGCGCGTAATTATGTTGCTGTCGCGCTCGCACACTCACTGCGGGCGCCCGTCGCACAGTCGCGACAGCAACATATTTACGCGCGAGCGATAGGGATGGGTAGCTTGGGNAATGACCCCAAGCTACCCATCCCTATCGCTCGCGCGTAATTATGTTGCTGTCGCGCTCGCACACTCACTGCGGGCGCCCGTCGCACAGTCGCGACAGCAACATATTTACGCGCGAGCGATAGGGATGGGTAGCTTGGGGTCATTGGACGGGATTCTACGTGCTCACGGACCAGGCTTTAGTAGGGTAGTTAAAGTACCGTTAGCAGCGTGCGCGGTGTAGATGAAACAGAATGTGTCAGGTCGGGGCGCGCGCGGGCCGGCCGCCGCCACCACGAAGCCGAGGGAACCCTCCTGCCAGCTGCCGTAGCACGTGTACACTGGAAAATAGACAAATTTAGTACCAAATAAATAATTTTTCTTTCTTTCAAATAGTTGTTGCACTTTGAAATTAAATTTGTGACACTACTCCACTGCCAGTAAGTGGAGTTAAGTGAGTGATTACAAATGGATAGGTCTAAGATGTAATTTAAATAGATATTAGATATGTCGCAGCCAAAGCTTAAAGAACGTAGCACATAAAATTCCATTCATACTCTTAGTTCATACTGCAACGCACACTTATTTTTACGGAAGTCAGCCCTATAGCTTCGGCGCAGTGCCGATCACTGACGTTTGTCAACAAAATGGTGCTTGACTCTTGAGACAGGCTAAATTACACCATATTGTTAATGACATTGAGCATACATTTTTTTAAATACCTTCGCGAAGTAAAACTTCTGTACGTAGTACTTATTATTATTCTGTATCCGCACCGTAATGTTAACGTCACCTCGCGGTTGACAGCGCGCGAAAGGTGATGACCCCTTTCCGAGTTAATAAGTCTGCTATGACCTTAATTAGCCTTCAATCAACAGCCCTAGCCTTTTTATTAAACGGCGGCCTGAATAATATTCAGCCATTCCATCAAACAGCTAGGCAAATGACTTGGGTCGATCGACTCTAGCATTAACAACTTTCGTCTTCGAATGGTTTGTGTATTCGACAAAATTCGATACTCAACCTTCGAATTAAACGATAACGTGACAATTTTGATCCTCAAAATAATATTCGTGCAACCATTTCTCATAATAAGTTCACTTTACGACACGTTCACAAGGGCGCTATTGCATAAATCTTTTGATAGCGATTCGAATACGCAAACGATTCGAACTCGAAAGTTTTGCGTGCTAGCCGTACAGTTCATTTAATTTAGTTCCACTTTCTGCCACCTAGCGCCGTAACTCTCCAATGTAATGTTAAGCTAGATGTATCTGTGATGTGCTCTAGTCTGTACACTGTAATACGACAAGAAGTACTGTCATACTCAGCATAAAGACGTCCTAGAAAAATAAAATATTGACAGGGGGTAGCGGGTAAATAATGTCCCAAGACCAATCCATCAGCAGAAGGCAACTATAGAAGGTCTCTAAAATCAAAACTAGGATTAAATAGAAGGTCTCTAAGATCAAAACTAGGGGCGACGATAGACCATAATAGACTCATGCGACACCTATAAACAAAAGGGGCGCCTATAGACAATCTTCAAGATCCAAAGGGCGCCTACAGACATTTCTGAGCTCCAAGGGGTATCTGTAGACAATCTCTAAGCTCCTAGGAGTGCCTACAGACAATCTTCAGCTACTCACCAGTAGTCAGGCAGTGCGACTTGAACTCAATGGTGTCCTGCGAGGCTCCACAGTTGAAGCTGGCACTGTCGTACGAGCCTTGGTAGCACTCGGCTGCTTCGTTGGGATCAGGATCGCCTGGGGACAAAGTTACAATGTTAGCGTGAATTCACAACATTGTAAGTTATAAATTATAAATAACTTGAAAAAATCTAGCAACCTAAAGCGGAAATCGAACCCACGACTCTAAACGACTTCTACGACGTAGTTGTAACAGAGTAAATACAAATGAGTAGGTCATCTTCATAGAAACTCACCGAGCGCGGTTTGTATGTGAGCGCGCGCCAATACGTATGCGGCGCGCACGCACACACTGACAAAATTCGGCGCAACAACCCGCTAATCCACGCTATCCTTAAGGACTGACTGACAGCAAATCGAACGCACAGCGTTGAATAGAGCTCTGTGATTAGTTCGCTTCAGTTCACACACAAAGTAATCAAAATATGTGCTTATTACCCACTGCGGTATCAGTACCCATACGCAAGCAATGTAAACTATTTACATTATGTCGTCGCTGCTGTCATCATTGCTGTCACTAGTAATTTGTTCTGTTTTGGGCATATTGCTGCGACACCAGCCCCGCCCCCTTGTCACATCTTCCTTTACTTTCTGTGATCTGTGATATATCTACATGATGATGATGATGATGATGATGATGATGATATTAATGTTAGCTCACCTATAGTAGTCTGCTGTCGCCGCTTGCGCCGGTCGGCGAGAGAATTCACCACGGAGTAGCGTCCGAACACCGGGCAGCGTGACGGCGTCAGGTACGTCGCTGGAATGGAGGATAAATTGTTAATACCATTGGTTAGATAGATTAACCGCCTCTGTGGTCTAGTGGTAAGACCACCTGCTACAGACGCAGAGGTCCCGGGTTCGAGTCCCAGTGGGGGCAGATTATTCTGTTCGGTTTGATTGGTGGTAGAGCTGTTCTAAGTCTTGAGGTTTCCGGGTGAAGCTCGCTTTCGCCTTCGGCCTTATCATCCATCAGGTGAGTGAGAGCTTCCACTTTGTGGATAAAAAAATAATAATAAAGGTAGCAGAAAGGCGCTGGACACAGGCCGCTACCAATCGATCAACATGGAAATCATTGGGGGAGGCCTATGTTCAGCAGTGGACATCCTGTGGCTGAAATGATGATGACGATTACCAAAGACAGCACCCTCTAAGTGCAAGTACTAGAGGTGGGAACTAAACCGGGTCTATGGGTGGGAAATTGCTGGACTGGATGCCGGGATATTGATGAGACTTCGGGACGCCTGCCACATCAAATGTTTTTTTTTTTTTTTTTTTTTATCCACAACGAGGAAGCTCTTGGCCTGTATCTCACCTGATGGTAAGTGATGATCAGGCCGAAGGTGGAAGCGAGCTTCTTGTCTCATCTTGATAATTACGGCAGACGGAGACTCGCCGCTCACTAAATGGGCCGTCCCATTAAAAGCTGCCAGATGGCAGCGAGAGCAGCAACATTGGTGTGCAAGATCGCGTTATCGGTCAGCATGCCCCCGGCGTTATGACATTTTACACTTCCAACCTGGAGCATAGGTTCTGCTCTTGCTACTCCACTCCTGGCCGGTTAAGGCAAGCCAGGAGGCGAGGCGCCAAATCAATCCGGGCCCTCGGGAGATTATTCTGTGGACTCGTCCTGCTGCAGCTCCAGCACGCCACTGGCTCGCTATAGTCTGGTCCGGGAGCACGTACAATTTTGTCCAATGACCCCAAGCTACCCATCCTTATCGCTCGCGCGTAATTATATTGCTGTCGCGACTGTGCGACGGGCGCCCGCAGTGAGTGTGCGAGCGCGACAGCAACTTACGCGCGAGCGATAAGGATGGGTAGCTTGGGGTCATTGGACAAAATTCTACGTACTCACGGACCAGGCTTTATCTACCTTTTTTTTCTAATTTAAAATGTTGGCTGTGGAGGCACGCCTATTAAAAGTCATGAAATCAACGGCTCGCTACATCTACGGTACTCCATATTAAAAGTCATGAAATCAATCGGTTGTTTAATCAGTGTCATGACATCAAAAGTCGCGGTGGGTAAATAACGAACTTCTCAGGGTGGGTAAGTAATATTTTCCTACCAAATTTTGTACTAAAAGGTAAAGTATTAAGAAAAAACAATTTTTTAATCATACATAATTGTGTATTTAAATAATGAAATAAAGTAATTAATTAGTACATGTTTAAAGTAAAGTTAAAGTTAAAGTATCTTATTGTGTATGATACCTACTATAAAAAAGAATTGCTTGCTATTCCTTTCAGAAATTGAAAAACATCCATACTATAGTCACGCCGTTCAAGAAACCGCGAGATTGCTTCTTGATGCATCCTCTTTTTCTTTCTAGGTGGAGTAGCTGGTACCCCGCTTTCCATTCTGGCAATTGTTAAGTTGGTGGCTGCTTGTTCTTTTTTTAGCTCACCAATTGTGACATAAAGACCCATTTTTTTATTATCCATTAAGGAGTTCCAGCGTCTGTGCCACGCTTCAATTTTATTTTGAGTCCTCGGCAAATTACTGTTGTTATGGTGCACTGACCACAATTCTGGAGGAAATACTGGGACTGTTCTACGTATAGTTAGTTTTGAGTCACCAGTATTTCGCGATACCAGTTTTCCGTTCACGTAATTGGTTTCAAACCATTCCACAATTCTAGTATCATCTGTTGGAAAAACATTTTCCTTCAAAAGTGCGAAAACTGACGGTATCTCTATAGGTGGTAAATACGCTAAAGCGATGAAATGACGGATCTTAAGAGAAAATTCGCCATCTTCAACATTCATTGTAACGTACCTACTAATTATTATGGAGTACTGTATATGTAGCGACCCGTTGATGCATAGTTGTCGATATCTAGACAATAAATACATCGACGTTCGATAACAAAACATTCATTGTAACGTACTAATTAATATAGAGTACCGTAGATGTAGCGACCCGTTGATGCAAAGTTGTCAATATCTAGACAATAGATACTTCGACGTTCGATAGCAAGTATGACACCCCAGCGCGGAGCCCTGCTGGAGCTCAGCCACTGGCGGCTATATCGGCTCGCGCGTAATTATGTTGCTGTCGCGCTCGCACACTCACTGCGGGCGCCCGTTGCAGAGTCGCGACAGCAATATAATTACGCGCGAGCGATAAGGATGGGTAGCTTGGGGTCATTGGACAAAATTCTACGTGCTCGCGGACAGACTATAAGTAACACAGTAGTATAAATATTATTCTGTGACTCACTGATGAGCGTGACGTAGGGCGGGGTCTCGGGCTGCGCGCAGGCGTCGTCGGGCGCCTCCCACAGCGCGGAGCCCTGCTGTAGTTCAGAAGCTGGCTGCTAGAAGCTTTGTTTTGTCACCTGTCATCCGCTTTGCACTGGAGGGAAGTCGAACCTTATCTTCGAACTCCTGCTACTGTTGCGGGTCCAATGACAGTTAAACTTGCCCCCGGGACAAACTTGGCCTTCACTGTTGGGTTATTGGCGGTCAAGCTGAAGATCCTGGCTACACAGGAGTTGCAGCGGTGGGAACGAGTGCTCTAAACCAGTGCGAACGCGAATTTTTTCTCCTTTCTATTGCAAATTTATAATTTTATTACAAGTCACAATGGGAAGAATACGCGCGCGTACGTCACTCACTACGAATGCCTTTTTAAACATCCCAGGAGAGTACGCCGTGCGTGTTTTGTTATAGTTGGGGAGATGAACATAACCTAATTCACGTAACAAAACTTCCAACGACATGCAAGCGATTTGATCGCTAGAGTCACTTTTCGTATCCACGTGTTAATCGCCTGATTTTGTTTCGATTTCGTTTTTATGCGTATTCAATCGTTACCTCCGCGGTATTCATCACCTAACCTATTTTGAAGATTGGTTCAAGTGATTAAACGTCAAAGAAGAACGGTCACGCCCCATACAAAAAAAACCCAGACCCGACAGAAACGAGACATACCTCAGTTGTTTTGTCTCGTCTTAATTAGTTAAATTATATATTTTTTATATTCGAAATCTATGTATAACACCAAAATATTACCCTTTGTTTTTGTTTAGGCGTTATACAAAAACTAATACAAAATGCTTATTTATCACCAAAATTGGTAAATGTATGTACCTAAATGTCTATTACAGCTGCTATGGAATGTATGTAGGTGACCTGGAGATACAACCGGATTATACAGGGTGGTTATACATATGGAACGATAAGTGATCTCACTCGATTATTTCTAAACTATACAAGATATCGAAAACTAGTTACTGGTTCTGAACGTGCTTCACGAGCTCTTTCAAATGGTACCATTAATAGGGTACAGATTATGGAAGCTGGTAACATTGAATTTTTGGATTTTGTAACTTATTATTTTTTCCACCCTGTATAATCCGGCTGTATCTCCAGGTCACCTAGATACATTCTATAGCAGCTGTAATAGACATTTAGGTACATACATTTACCAATTTTGGTGATAAATAGGCATTTTGTATTACTTTTAGTATAACGCCTAAACAAAAACAAAGGGTAATATTTTGGTGTTATACATAGATTTCGAATATAAAAAATATATAATTTAACTAATTAAGACATGACAAAAAAACTGAGGTATGTCTCGTTTCTGTCGGGCCTGGGTCACAGATGACCGTTCTTCTTTTAATGACAAATCATTGAGTTGCGATCCTATCGAGTAATCGTTCTATTGAAATGACACGTGAATACGGATTTAGGACTGTTTTTCAATAGGACGACTTCTAAAGGTCAACGAGATTTTGTCTGTCACACTAAACCCTACTAAGGTACATATTATTCATCTATGTACTTACTAATAAGCGTGACGTAGGGCGGGGTGTCGGGCTGCGCGCAGGCGTCGTCGGGCGCCTCCCACAGCGCGGAGCCCTGCTGCAGCTCCAGCACGCCGCTGGCTCGCTGGTAGAACTTCAGGCACACGTGGCCGGACTCGCTGGAAGAAGAACAGCAATTTATATCCTTGGACGATTTGAAACGCCATCTAAAGCCCGGTCTGTGAGCACGTAGAATTTTGTCCAATGACCTCAAGCTACCCATCCTTATCGCTCGCGCGTAATTATGTCGCTGTCGCGCTCGCACACTCAATGCGGGCGCCCGTCGCACAGTCGTACAAAATTCTATGTGCTCACAGACCAGACTATAGTGCTAAACTAACAAAAGCAGAGTAATTTTGGTGGGTCCCTGCGATGAGTGAGATGAGTCCCACATAAAACCTTCCGTGCCTGTTAAAACACAGTTTTTATCATGCCCTCCGCGATCTCTCTACGGTAGTGGAAACACCTAAAAATCTGGAATAAGTTATCAAATACTATGAGAGAACAGAGGAATGGTATGTTGATAGTAAGTACAATAAATAATTACATCACTAAGAAGTACATTTTTGTAATACGATAGATGATTGATTGATTATGATAAAAATATAGGAACGGCCCATATAACCTAAGTAAGTTTTTCGTAGATACGCCATAAAGTTAGAGCGAAATGGTACTATAGTTGAGAGAGATGGAGAAAGAGGAGAGCCTACAGAGCATAAATACAAGCAGAAAGCTGCGTTGCTATTTGAAAAGAACATTGCTTTCATTCTTCAAACACTAAACGTCTCCAATCTCTCCTTAACCCCCTACAAAAAAGAGTGATGTTAAAAGTTTGATTGCTATGTACAGTCAGCGTCAAACAATTCGTGACACCCAAAGTAGCCAAAAATTTCGCAACGTCTTTGTTACAATTGGAATAAGGTTGTGTTGTCAACTTTTTGACCACTTTTGGTATCACGAACTATTTGATCTGTGGAACCATATCTCTAAATTTTTATTTTATTTCAAAGCTGGTTTTTAACGGTTCTTGTAATAATTTATGTCTTGTATGTAAGTAGGTACTCACCATCCTCGCGTGACGTGCGCCACGAGCGTGACGCGGTCGCGCGCCTGCTCCAAGATGGAGTGGCAAACCAGGCGCTTCTCCTCGGCCAGGCTGTCGCCGTTCATGATCTGGAACAAAAGTCAATAAATAATAATAATATCTTAATGTAAGAAAAAAGTGTATGAATTATTGTGATTCCTTTGGGTCCAGGACATTAGGAAGCTGGAAACATTGATTTTTCGGATAGATCCAGTTTATTCTGTAACCTATTATTAATATCATTTGTTAGAGCTCATGAAGCACTTTCAGGATCGATAACTAGTTTATTGATATCTTGTATAGTTTAGAAATAATCGAGTGAGATCACTTATCGTTTCCACCCTATATAATGTGTATATAAAACTCAAAGAGGACTGACTGACTGATATAGTGATCTATCAACGCACAGCTCAAACCACTGGACGGATCGAGCTGAAATTTGGCATGCAGGTAGATGTTATGACGTAGGCATCCGCTAAGGAAGGATTTTACGAAACTCTACCCCTAAGGGGGTAAAACGGGATCCACGCGTACGAAGTCGCGGGCGGCCGCTAGTACTACATTCATAAAACTCATAAAAATCTCGTTTCAGCCAAAAGACGTCCACTGCTGGACAAAGTCCTCCCCCAAGGATTTCCACAAAAACCGGTCCTGCACCGCTCGCATCCAGGCACCTCCCGCCACCTTCACTAGATCGTCGGTCCACCTAGTGGGAGGCCTGCCCACGCTTCGTTTTCCGGCTCGTGGTCGAACTTTCCTGCCCCAGCGGCCATCAGCTCTATGAGTGCTATCTAGATGAGTGTATAAAACTCACTTGTTTCTGCAAGTAGGCTTTTAAAAAGCACTTTTACACGTCCCAGTATTAACCCTACCACTGCTTCGGGATAAAAAAAATATACAACGGGACTATTCCCACCTCTCGTTCCCACCACTGCAACTCCTGTGTAGCCAGGATCTACAGCTTGACTGCCAATAACCCAACCAGTGAAGGCCAAGTTTGTCCCGGGGGAAAGTTAGACTGTCATTGGACCCGCAACGAAATTAATCAGAAGAACCTATGTTCTTCGAAATTAAGGTTCGACTTCCCTCCGTTGCAAAGCGGATGACAGGTGACAAACAAATGTTTAAAACCTTTAAGAAAAGATTAACAAAAAATATATGAGCTGATGATGAAGTTCTACTGACCTTGAGCGTGGCGTTCTTGGTGGTGAAGTGGTACTGGTGCTGGTGGTCGAGGCTGAACCACTTGTGGTGCTCCACGATCCATGACGGGAAGTGGCAGCGGTTGTGCTCGTCGTCGCCTGGAATATTGGTAAATAATTTTTAAATAAATTGAAACAATCGAATTGCCCAAGGTGGGAATCCAACCAATGCCATTGGGAGAGGTTAATTGTATGGAATAGATTGACTAGGAGTGGATTGTACTGAATGGAACGTCCCAATTGGATTGAACGGAATGGATTCTCTCAATTTAATTGTCTATAATGGATTGTCTCAAATGCATTACATACTAACTGGTAGTGAGATTCATAATACAACTGCCGTCTGTCGGCGATAAGACGCCGTTGCGTGTCGCGTCACCGGACTGAGCTATGTTATAGGTCATGCTATGTCACTATTATATGTAGAATGGATTGTCTGAAGTGGATTGTATGGAATGGATTGTCTGAATTGGATTGTCTAATGTCTTAAGTGGATTGTATACTAACTGGTGGTAAGTTTCATAATCCGGCTGCCATCTGTCGGCGATGACACGCCGTTGCATGTCGCGTCGCTGGACTGAGCGATGTTGTACGTCATGCTATGTCACTATTGTATAGAATGTATTGTCTCAAGTGGATTGTATGGAATGGATTGTATGGAAAGGATTGTCTGAAGTGGATTGTATGAAATGGATTGTCTGAAGTGGATTGTCCAATATCTCAAGTGCATTGTATACTAACTGGTGGTAAGCTTCATAATCCGGCTGCCATCTGTCGGCGATGACACGCCGTTGCATGTCGCGTCGCCGGACAGGGCGATGTTGTACGTCATGCTATGTCACTGTTATATGGAATGTATTGTCTCAAGTGGATTGTATGGAATGGATTGTCTGAAGTGGATTGTATGGAATGGATTGTCTGAAGTGGATTTTCTAATATCTCAAGTGGATTGTATACTAACTGGTAGTGAGCTTCATAATCCGGCTGCCATCGGTCGGTGACGACACGCCGTTGCATGTCGCGTCGCCGGACTGGGCGATGTTGTATGTCATGCTTTTATCGCTGTGCTGCCCTTTGTAGATGAAGCACCTGGAAATTACGTAACGTAGGATATTTAGTTAAAGATGAACATGTTACAATACATCTTTTTTTACATCTATAAAAGCGAAAGGTCACTGACTGACTCACTCACTCATCACGAAATCTCAGAAACTACAAGTGCTAGGAGTCTCAAATTTTGCATGGGGGTTCCTTTTAGAACGTAGGTGCTCACTATGAACGGATTTTACGAAACATCACCCCTAAGGGGGTAAAACGGGATCCACGGGTACGAAGTCGCGGGCGGCCGCTAGTTATTATTAATCTCGTTATCTAGGGTTAACCCCTCGAGGTAATCTAAATTAATGCTTGTGTTATGACTACGCCACAATAGTCGAGTGGCGGGGATCGAACCCGCGTTCCTGAGACCACGAGTCGGCCAGTCGGACACCTTCCTTCACCTTTTGGCTATCGTCGTTTCTAAGGGCTATATTTCACCGGGACACCATGGCGGCGCAACCAGTCGCCGCTACCAACAAAATGTATACAGCTTTGCGCAACCAAACCAGGTGAGTAACTATAGAGCTGCATACATTTGTTGGTAGCCGGCGACTGGTTGCGCCGCCATGGTGTCCCGGTGAAAAATAGCCCTAAGGCTGACTTTCACCACCTAACTTTGACCGTAACTATAACGATAACCGGAGTTTTTTGTATGAAAATTTACAGATTTTTAAGTGAAAGTTAAAGTAAGTTGGTGCAGCCCTGCCTAAGATTTTAAGGATAATAAAACAAGTGGATACCTGTAGGTGTCCTCATCAGAGACGATGGAGTTCCTTCGCACTTGCGATATCTGCCCCACCAGGTACCTGGTCGAGCCTTCCTTCCACGTCGCCAGGCACACCAACTCCTCCACTGGAATAGAAATAACAGTACACGTAAGTTTAACAGTCATCATCATCATCATTTCAGCCATTGGACGTCCACTGCTGAACATAGGCCTCCTCCAATGATTTCCACAAAGACCGGTTGGTAGCGGCCTGCGTCCAGCGCCTTCCTGATACCTTTATGATGTCGTCTGTCCACGTTGTAGACGTCCCACGCTGCGTTTTTCGGTACGCGGCCTCCATTCCAGAACCTTGCTACCCCATCGGCCGTCAGTTCTGCGTACTATGTGCCCTGCCCATTGCCACTTCAACTTGCTAATCTGTCGGGCTCTGTCAGACTTTAGTTCGTTTACGGATTTGTAACTTTATTATTTCATTTGACTAACCTAATCTATAAAAGGTGTTTGTAATTTCCTTTTAAGGATATTATACTTGCTTGTGTAAAGGAAAAACGTCAGAATTTCTTCATAATAACAGATGATGAACTCTGGAAGTTGACTTACCATTGTTCTCTGTCCCCAGCACATCGGGACAGGCCATGTACCGCAGGTTACCGCATTGGTGCAGTCGCCTGTGATATCCAGTACTAGGTCCGTCACGTGATATTTACCTGTTCTAAGTAGAGGAGCGCGCCACTTGGTTACGTCAAGTGATAATCAGAAAGTACTAGGTCCGCCACGTGATATTTTATACTAGTTCCAATATCACCCGTTATATTTTACCTGTTATATGGAACGGGCAGGGTTGCGGTACCGGGGGCTCCATCCTAAACATTAGGTAGAGAGGTGCGTCGCCGCAGTTCTCGATTGCGTGATATTTATTATAATGGCAAGTATTCGTCAGGCCAATGTCCCAACAATACGCAGTAACAATAGTACGCAGAACTGACGGCCGATGGGGCAGCAAGGTTCTGGAGTGGAGGCCGCGTACCGGAAAATGCAGCGTGGGACCTCCACCCACAAGGTGGACCGATGACATCATAAAGGTAGCACGAAAGCGCTGGCGCTACCAACCGGTCAACATGGAAAGCATTGGGGGAGGCCTATGTTCAGCAGTGGACGTCATATGGCTGAGATGATGATGATGATGTCCCAACAGTAGACTGCTGTATCCTGAAGACTTACCATTGCTCTCTGTCCCTGGCACATCGGGACAGGCCATGTACCGCAGCAGTAGCCTGGAGTCGTCCGTGCACGCTTCGGCACGCGACGGGGGATTGGTGCAGTCGCCTGTGCCCCTGGAATTACAACAAATGATAGTGTTAAGAAAGAAAACAAGAAAAAATATTTGTTGCAGCGTAAAATAAAGCCTTTATTAAGACCATTCGAGTCGTAATGGACTAAGAGCCAGTGAACGCCAGAACGTTGGACTATCATGAAGTTCTTGGTTTTCTCACCACGTAAGTTTGAACCATCATGAAGTTCTTGGAAACTTCATGGTTTATACGAAGGTTTGGCTCTGGCTCTGGCTCTTGCTCTGGGTCCTACTCTAGCTCGTAAGATAAGGTTAAGTTACGACAACGTAACATCAGTATTATATCTCTCATGTTAAAATTGAACGGCTATTTTTATAAATAAACTAGTACCAAAATCACTCTCAATCACAACCTTATAAGATTAACCAAAATCTACCGTTATCATTACTCAACACTCAATGATTTATTACATCTAATGCCACTCTGTTCTCCTCTGCTCTGGTGGATCCGTGATATTTTACACTAGTTTCGTCACGTGATATTTATACTAGTTCCAAAATCACCTGTTATTTTGTCACGTGATATTTTAGCTGTTTAAGTAGAGAGGCGCGTCACCACTTGGTAATGTCACGTGATAATCAGAAATACTAGGGTCGTCACGTGATATTTAACACTAGTTCCAAATACCTGTTATAAGTGAACGTGAAGGGCGCAGGATGGAAGGGGCAGGGCTGCGGTACCGGCCGCGGCTCCTTCCTGAACATGGAGTAGAGGGGCGCGTCGCCGCTGATCTGTTCGCATATTGAGGATAACGAGTCCTTGGACCAACTGGGACCTGGAATTATAAGTAGTACATATTAGTGGTCAATATACCAAATTACCTCCTTAGGTCATTTAGATGTCCTTACATCAGAATAATTAAACACTTCAATTCATTTAAAAAACTCCGTTTTTCTTGTCACTACTTTTTGGGACATCCTGTATTTAAATTAATAAATGCTATTTTATTATAATATCTCAATTCTTTGACGACTGAAGTAACTGCCAATTTCTATTGTTGTCCGACAAATTGTATGACGAAACGGCTTAGTATGTAGTCGATTCGCACGAATGTGCGAAACTCCCCTCTCATTAATAATATTGTTTTAGTAGGCGTTTCGCCCGGATGTATTAAAATCGCGTGCGAATCGACTCCTTCGAGAACTAGTAGTAGGTATGTGGGCAAAGTGAAATAATCCTTCAGGAATGGTCTAGGTGTGAATGGTAAGATTTATTATTTATAGTCCCATAAAAACTATAATCCGATCACCGGTGCCGCCACGTTTATTGTTCCACCTTTTAATTTTTCCAAGTCCTATCTAGTCAAGTATTTCTATACCAAAATAATTCATCAACGGTTTAGGCAGGCATATAAACGTTATTAATAAATAACTAAAATATGAAAATATGTGTGTTACTTACTTTCTTTATATTGAAGTACATATTTGTGCTTTTCATGTATCACCATGCATCTGTATGAGTCGTCGCTTCTGAAAATGATAATAATACAAAATTAAATATAAATTTGTAATAAACGTTAAATTAACTATAATAAAACGTAGATACTTATTCTATCTCTTATCAAATGACTAGCTTTCCGCCCGCGGCTTCGCCCGCGTGGAATTTTGTCTGTCACAGAAAAACTTTATCGCGCGCGTCCCTGTTTCAAAAACCGGGATAAAAACTATCCTATGTTCTTTCCCGGGACTCAAACTATCTCTATGCCAAATTTCATCAAAATCGGTTGCGAGGTTTAAGCGGGAAAGCGTAACAGACAGACAGACAGACAGAGTTACTTTCGCATTTATAATATTAGTTGGGATAACTACAACGAGGAAGCTCTTGGCCTGTATCTCACCTGATGGTAAGTGATGATCAGGCCGAAGGTGGAAGCGAGCTTCACCCGGAATCCTCAACCACGGAGCAACTGGCTATCTTACTTAAAGTAAATGCTATTTTCACGCGTACGAAGTCGCGGGCACAGCTAGTCTATACTAATTCAGTTAGTGTTATTAACTGATTATCGTTGATTGGCAATTCATATTAATTAACACACTAATTAATCAGATATGTTAATCAACAAAACTAATCAATGAGGTAATCACTATTTAGAGGGTGTACGTTACTCCAGCTGGAAAGTAGCTCCTAGAGTGATACGAGTAGAACGTATAATTAGTTCCCAACATGGTGTAAATGTGCGCCAAATTAGAGATTTGTGCGTGCTGTCGTTTTGGTACAAAACGGAAAAAACGATTCCTGCTGGAGTAATAGAGGTAAGACAATAGAGCCCGTATTCACAAACATTACTATGAGGTATCACAGTGCGCGTGGACGCACGCGAGGATGACACATGAACAAATCACAGAGCTCTATTCAACGCTGTGCGTTCGATTTGCTGCTTCACTTAAGCAAGCATAGTTTGTGAAAACGGGCGTATATTCAATACGGTAGAGACCCCGATTTTGGTCACATAATCTATCAAAAATACTGACATTAAAAATGATATTCTTAAGGCGGTTATCACACTGCGCCGCGCTCCGCGGAGCGCGGGACGACAGATTTAATCATTGTATGCAAGTACCTCAGTTTGTATAGAAAACACGCGCGGCACTTCACACTGACAACGCGTCCGCGCGCGGGTTTTTTTATATGAAATCACGGCGGAGCGCGGCGCAGTGTGATAACCGCCTAAAGGACGAAGCCCATTTATCAACCTGGAAACGGATCGTAACCGTATCGACTCGAGGCGATCAGTATTCTTTGAATGAAACTCCGTACTGCAACGCACACTTATCCGTACCATAACGTAAACGCCTCATTTTGCGGCGAAAAGGAATACGGTATTGATCCCTTCCCGGGTTGAAAAATGTGCTATGACCATTAGGCTACTGTCTTTATAATCGCTGTGGTTGCAAAAGAAACTCTACTGACCTGTCATAAAGTAGAAACTTGTCTGTAGACTCAGTCTCCGCGCACTCGCCCTTAGACTGTATGTGCGTGGAGTTGATGACGATGAGTCCAGGGTACCCTGACTGGAACCAGCTGCCGGTCCAGCTCTCGGGGAAGGTGCAGCCCCCGCCTGGAAGAGAAGAGAAGAGAGCTTAGTACAGAAGAGAACTTAGAAGGGGAGAAAAGAGAGCTTAGGCTGGTTTTAGTGTCACGCGGACCGTCCGGTGCGGACCCGCTCCGCACGGCCAATCTGTATGAACTTCTACGGAGCGTTTTAGAGTAATGCGGTCCGGAGGAACCGCTCCGCTCCCTAGCAGTTCATACAGATCGGCTGTGCGGAGCGATCCGCACTGACAGTCCGCGTGACACTCAAAACATCATAACACCGATGGGGCAGCAAGGTTCTGGAGTGGAGGCCGCGTACCGGAAAACGCAGCGTGCGACGTCCACCCACAAGGTGGACCGACATCGTAAAAGTAGCAGAGCGCTGGACGCAGGCCGCTACCAACCGGGCAACATGGAAAGCATTGGGGGAGGCCTACGTTCAGCAGTGGACGTCCTGTGGCTGAGATGATGATGATCATCATGACACGAGACTCATAGGGCGTCCATTATTAAAGATTTTTTTATCCAATAAACTTTCTTTCATAATAACGTGATACACGTAATAACGTGAGGTGATTTGGAATTTTTGGTCTCGTTTTATCACAAAGTATCGCCTTTTGAAATGGAATCCTATCCTACTAATATTATAAATGCGAAAGTTTGGATGTCTGGCTGGATGTTTGATGAACTGAGCGGATTTTGATGAAACTTTGCAGTATTATAGTTTATAACCCAAAATAACATTAGGCTATAATTTATGACGATCTGTGACAAACTAAATTCCACGCGGGTGAAGCCGCAAGCAAAAGCTAGTCTTACATAAATACACTGGCCTGCAAAACTAAAGTACTTATCACGGATTTAAATACTTTCAAAATAAAAAGGACTTGAGATACATAGTTAGAAAAAAAGTTTTTTTTAAATTTTCTATGGTTTAGAAAAAGTACTAGACTACACTCATAACTGAACTCCCCTAAATAAAATCTAAATCAAGGGGCCCTCATGTTTGATTAAAGTCTCAATACATTCAATTGATACCATCACCATTGACCTAACAAATAGTAATTGATAGGAAGCCACTGGTTACCATATACCATCCCATAAAACCATTGTTCACCACCGAGGGAGCTTATGCCTTGTTCGCACTAGTCGAGTAAATCTCATAAAAAATCAAAATCAAAAATAGTTTATTCAATTTTGACCACTAGTGGTACTTATGAACGTCAAATATAGTAAAAAAGGTAGCCCTTAAGGGGCACTTTACATGTCTCCTTATCTTTTGGGCCCTACCATCGAGACAAATATAGCAAGTGCTGAGAAGAAACGCTAGAACAAACTTAGTCACCACTAACGGGACTATTTTCTATGACTATGTCCCACCGCTGCAACTCCTGTGTAGCCAGAATCTACAGCTTGACCGCCATAAAAAACCCAACCAGTGGAGGTCAAGTTTGTCCAGTTTGAAGTCACCACTAGTCAGCAAACTTATCAACTCGGAAAGGGATCAACACCGTATCGCCTTTCGCGAGCTGTCATTGCCTTTCGCGCGCTGTCAATCGCGAGGCGAGGCGTTTACGTTACGGCACAGTTACGGTGCGGATAATGTGCGGTGCAGTATGGAGTTTCATACAAAGAATACTGATCGCCTCGAGTTGATACGGTTACGATCCCTTTCCGGGTTGATAATTGTGCGACAACCTTTATAGACTATTTGATCAACGGGACTATTCCCACCTCTCGTTCCCACCATTACAACTCCCGTGTAGCCAGGATCTACAGCTTGACCGCCAATAAAGACCCAACCAGTGAAGGTCAAATTAGTCCCGGGGGAAAGTTAAACTGTCATTGGACCCGCAACGAAATTATTCAGAAGATGGTTCAGGTTTTTTGATCAGTAGTTTAGTTACTAAAGGCGAGTTACTCTACTAACCGACTAGTGTGAACAAGGCTTAAGAGCTAGTTTACGAGCTATCATAGCTATACGCGAGCTATCTACACTTTACGATGCTGTAAAGCTGTATTTTTTATCGTCAAAACTATGAAGGCTGTATAGTAGTTTTCCTTTGTGCTGGCGCGGCAGTAAAAACCATTATCCGTCAAAATATTCCACAGATTAATAAAGGAAAACTGGCGGGAGATTCGAATGGAAAATAAAATGTTTAATGCAGGTTATTAAAAATGAGTTGGGGTTTTTCGGAGTGCTTGTTTATTTGGGCGTAAAGTTAAGATAAAAATGTGATGTAGGTTAGAAATAACTATACTTTAGTGTTTTTAGAGGCGAAAATTTGAGGTTACAACTTTGATAGTAAGGCCAAAGTTCCCCTATATACAGTTTCAATAACAGTTTAGGTACCAAAACCTAGGAATATTTCATACTTTTATTTACTTTTCTGTACTAAACTTATGTATTTATGTGTACATGTTTTTTATGCAGAACAAGGCAGGTATTTTACCCCATACTCAATATGTTTATTGTTTCCATAATAACAGTAATGTAGAATTGTAGATGTTACAGTGTGTTAACACTGATCAGTCTAGGATGGTTAGAGTCAATAGTAGAGATGAAACGGATATCCGGTAACTATCCGGTAGGCCGGATATCCGGCCTAAATTTACTATCCGGCCGGATACCGGATAGTAACTCACTATCCGGCCGGATACCGGATAGTAACTCACTATCCGGCCGGATACCGGATATTAAAAAACTACGACAATTTCCTATTAATAAAATGAAATACATTAAATCTTTGGGGTAAACAAATATCAATAAAATGCCTTATAACAATGACGGCTTTTAGTAAAAGTCCAAAAAGTTACAAAAAAGCCATATTAAGGCCTTTCAAAAAACTAATTTCTTTTTCTGGGCTATTATCTCTAATGACGAATACATAAATGGTAAATATCTGTTAATGTCAAAATATTGCCAAATAAATTTTCGCTATTCAATCACACACTCACGATGGCAACCAAAATCGCCCGAATTAATCTGCCCCCTAGACAAGTGGCAAAATCTGACATTCTATTCGGATGAATTCGATTTTCGAAAAGTGACTAGTCTAGTCTACTAATAGACCCACTGATCGCGTTCGAAACACCTGTGCGGCGCTAAACTCGTCACGACATGCAACGAGACAATGGGCCAACTATCCGGCCGCCGGATATCCGGCTATCCGGCCTAGCAGCTGGCCGGATATCCGGTATCCGGCCAAACAACTATCCGTTTCATCACTAGTCAATAGGCACTTACAGGGCAGGAAATGTATCTGCCCTGTAAGTGCCTATTCACTCCCGCTTTGAAAAGGCCCGGATTATAGGTAGGCTGTTCGGGAGAGACAGCAGCAAGCAGCGAATTCCAATCCCTAGCTGTTCGCATTGTGAAAGAGTTTCATTTATTTGAAGTATTTTATGACATGGCCTTTCTAATAAAATTTATAGTCATGTACTTACATTCCAGTCCTCTAAATAAAATCTAGGAATAATAGAAAACTACTCTATTATTTAATATTTTACAGTCGTTGAGCACAAGTCTAGGTTATTATAGGGGTAGAACAATACAATGCATTATAGACATACCTACTTTATTCATTCATATGCACTAGGACCACTGCTATTCGATTCCCATTCTTAATTATTGAAAAATTAAAAAGGTGTGGGTTTGTTGTGGTCTAAGTTAAAGTACGTAGCGATTAAAGGACGTCGCACATTTATCAACCCGGAAATATCAACTCGAGGCGGTCAGTATTCTTTGTATGAAACTCCATACTGCAACGCACACTTATCCGCACCGTAACGTAAACGTCTCTCCTCGCAATTGACAGCGCGTGAAAGGCGATCACAGCTCACGAAAGGCGATACGGTGTTGATCCCTTTATGTTAGGGCTATATTTCACCGAGACACCATGGCGGCGCAACCAGTCGCCGGCTACCAACAAAATGTACACAGCTCTATAGAGAGTTACAGTCACCTGGTGTCCGTTTGGTTGCGCAAAGCTGTATACATTTTGTTGGTAGCGGCGACTGGTTGCGCCGCCATGGTGGCCCGGTAAAATATAGCCCTTACGGTACGGTGCGGTTAATAAGTGTGCGATGCATTACGGAGTTTCATACAAAAAATACTGACCGCTTCGAGTTGATACGGTCACGATCCGTTTCGGGGTCGATAAGTGTGCTTCAACTTTTAAACTCAGTCAGTATTTAAAACATTTTAGACAAAAAGGGGTTTTCTGTAATTTTCCATAGTCCATCATAAATTTTAAAATATAAAGCTTGTAAAAACGCGTTTCGTTTCTTCTTCGCGCCACAGCAAACCGAGGTATTGTTTTAAGTCGTTGCGTTTTGTTCTTTGCCCCATTGTAAGCGGCCAGGTGTTCGCATTTCCCGTTTTACACTTTTGTGTGCTGATTTTTAGGGTTCCGTGTGAAGTGGGGTTCTGTAGAGTTAACTGAATGTTTATTTAGTTAGGAGCAGTTGTAGTTAGGTTAGATCTGGGGGAATGAGCTATTTTAGCAAGTACAGTTATCGAGAAGTAATAGAAATTTCTCGAATAACTGTCTTCAAAATTACGTAAGTGTCTGAGGTAGGTATATGGTCGCGGTACGGGACGGTGTTGTTGTATCGTAATCTTAGAAACTAAACACCTACAAACTTGAAATTTGGCAGGTAGGTCCTTATAGGGTGTAGACATCCGCTAAGAAGGAATTTTACGAAACTACACACCTTAGGGGGTAAAACGGGGGTTGGAAGTTTGTATGAAAGTCCTACGTTTTTACGCGTACGAAGTCGCGGGCGGCCGCTAGTTAAAGAATATAATATGTATAATAGAATAGTGACTGAGTTTCTTGCGCTGCTTCTTCTCAGCACTGGCCCATTTATTGTCCTAAAGCAGTGGTAGGGTTAATACTGGGACGTGTAAAAGTGTTTTTTAAAAGCCTATTTGCATTAATAAATGAGTTTTTATGAGCTTTTAATATGATCTATACTAATATTATAAATGCGAAAGTAACTCGTCTGTCTCGCTTTCACGCCTAAACCACCGAACCGATTTTGATGAAATTTGGAATAAAGATAGTTTGAGTCCCGGGAAAGGACATAGGATAGCTTTTATCCCGGTTTTTGAAACAGGGACGCGCGCGATAAAGTTTTTCTGTGACAGACAAAATTCCACGCGGGCGAAGCCGCATGCGGAAAGCTATTTTTGAAATCATCACCAGTGAGAAACATTACTCTTTTTAACCACAATCGGGTAATAATAACGTAGGAAAATGGTAATAACCAATTTCAGCCGTTATAAAGGACAGAGATTGATCGAATTCATAATACAAACCAAATAAATTAGAAAGTTATAGGCTTCGAAGTCTGTCAAGGGACTCAGTAACCCCTCTTGCTCTCTCTTTTGCCCGCGGTTTTACTCGGGTGGATACTTATCATAGAACTAGCGGCCGCCCGCGACTTCGTACGCATGGATCCCGTTTTACCCCCTTAGGGGTGGAGTTTCGTAAAATCCTTTCTTAGCGGATCCCTACGTCATAACATCTACCTGCATGCCAAATTTCAGCCCGATCCGTCCAGTGGTTTGGGCTGTGCGTTGATAGATCACAATGTCAGTCAGTCAGTCAGTCACCTTTGAGTTATAATATTTAGATTTAAATGAAATGATAGTAGGCTTTTCTGTGACTATAAAAACAGAATTTCAAACCAAAAGCATTAATAAGATTTTTTGTTTGCGTGTTTTCAAATATTTACGAACGATGGAATATCGTAGACTCTTTCATCCCCTATTTCACCCCATCAATTTAACTGAATTATTAATTAAGATATGGGAAAAACAATTTTTATGATTACTAATATCGTTCAATGAAAGCGATAAAACGTTGTCATCTTCAGAATATTTCAGAATTCACCCCCAAAACTTCCTTAAAGGGAGAAATGGGGTGACAAGGTCTAAAAATCAACATTTGTATGGATTTATCGACTTTCTGAGACAACGAAATTCAAGCGGGCGAAAGCTAAAAACGATAATATAATTTTTAAATGATTATACGTTTTTTTTTTTGTAACTTACTATTTTTATAATACTCAATGTCTACTTCGAAGTTTTTGATTGGAAAATA